CTTTATTAGAAATATTTATGCTAATTTTATATTTATCGAATTAGCTATGTTAGTAATTATGTTAATTAAATTTAATTAATGACAACTGAAGATTAGTTTTAAATAAATTATAAATTATGATAAATTATTATTTATCAACGCAGTTGGTGGTATATCGAAGTACTAACCGGTCGTGACTCTCTTCTTTTTATATTGATCTGAAGGGACTAAGTGCTTGGGGGTATATCGTAATATTGAGCCATTGCGCGAGTCCTCGTGACATCGAGATCATTGTTGGGGCCAAGGCTGAATAAAGCCGCAGATAATATTCATAGATATAAAGCAAACCCGAGGAGGGTTATCTTCGACACGAGGGACTAGCGCGGCTCTAAAAATCCGGTCAACAAAGCGACTCCCTCGAAACGAGACATATAAATTGCAAGGGCTCAGACAGCAGTTTTCATTGGAGAACTGCTTCTTGAAGCAAAATAACAAGACATTAAGATGTGTTCTGAGTGCTTCGAGAGTTATCTATAAAAATAAAATGTATTAAATAATTTTTACGAATAATTTTTTAAGATATTCAAAACATGATTTGTGTATCTCTATAACACGTAATAAAAATATGAAATTAAATTTTGATTTAGATTTGGTTTAGAATCAAATATATATAATTAACAATTTTTATCTATTTATTGATACAATAACAGATATGTAATTAGTATAGAACATTGTTAAGGAAAGAAACATTATTTACAGTCTAAGATATTTTTATTAATTGCAAATTAATTTTTATAATCTAATTTTTATAAATCTAAAATTTTTAAAAATATGTGTTTTCAGAATTGAGTGAAAAAAAGAGCACTTTGAAAGTATATTTTATTAAATATTTTCATGCGACTTTCTATATGCGAATACATATAGTAGTTTCGGTTTGCATCGCATCGCATCGCATTATACGTGCGCGTAAGGGTGATTACAAGCATGAAATATTTATCTGCTATCTGTTGTAACCGCGCTTAGCTAGTGGTATTAGGTTTCGGAAGCCGAGGCGACGCGTCGCGCGACAATATCACGGAATATCTTGGCAGATACTACATTCGACATTGCATAATAGCGCCGGTAATGAAGACATATTCACCATGGACTGACACATTATGATACTTTAAGCCGCAACCGCCACTTTACTCCCTAACATCTGCTAACTGCATCTAGAAACATACTTCCTGTCACGACTTTGCTTGCAAATTCTATATGATGCATTTATTAAGACTCGTCAATCTTATATTGCAATATGTGTAACAGAAATTTTTATCAAGAGAGGAAATAAATTTTATAGAGCATATTATTAGTATGTTGAATGACAAGAAATTCAAATTTATGAAAAATTAAGAGATTTCTTGATAAATTTTGAATCAAAACTGCAATTTATTTTCACAAAGTTATACTTATTTTTTATGAATTATAAATAAATTAATATATAAAGAGAATAGTTGATAAATTTTTAATTAATATTATATAAACTAATAACTATTTACAGATATTTATAATATATTCTAAATAATCTATATATAAAGAATAAAAAAGTTAAAATTAAAATTAAATTATCGATCATGTAGAGTTTAATAAAAATAGGAATATTTGCAACATTACGATGATTTATCGCAATGCTCTTAGACATAAAATATACAATTCTGCGAAACAATATAAATGTAGGAACAAGTTAGACATAGTTATTCATAGAAAATACGTTAATTGTTACGTAGCTACTACTATTTTATCGTTCTCGCTTCGACACGAATACTAGGTGAACACTTGATAATTTCACAGAACCGTACAGGTAGTAATTTCTCCCTCCAAACAAAAGCAGTTTGTCGGCGTGAGAATACGTTACATCGAAGCTATTAAAGTTGCATTACGCGATGTACGATGGACACGTTTGCTACGATAATAAAACGGACGTTAAAATAAGAAAAAGGGAGTCGAAGCGTACTTCTCGTAACGAAAGTAGGACAGTGAAACGGCACGTGCGACTCGCGGGGCCCGGGTCCACACATCTCACGTTAAATCTGGGACCATTCTCGTGGGTCCAGGCCACGCGTGTGTGACACATCTTGAAGTCATCTCACGTGCCCGCATTGTAGTTCACTCGGGCAGTCAGCCAACCGACCAGTCAGTCTGCGGCCGTCAAGACTCGAGGGACCGGGGAACCCATGGAACAAGAACAGAAGCAACACTGACCTTCCTCATACATGTGTTCACATAAAATATTACGGTGCGGTCACGTTCGCGATGACAATTCGTGGACTCGCAAGCCTTGTCTTTCTATCCATCTTTCTTTCGCTTTTACATACATTGCAATTTTTACGATTTAATAATTTAAATTTATCACGACATTTTCCAATCATTCGAGATTAAGATATTTTCTTTTAATTGTTAATTAATTCAAATCAATGAAATGTGAATCACTTTTCCAAAATATTATATGTTGATTTTTTTAGATTTCTATAGTAATTATAAAAATGGATATTTTTTTTTGTTTATTTTTCTTTTTTGTCGTTTACTTTATGCTCTCTCGAGACTCGAAAATTTTGCGTGGAGTAAAAGACTAGACGATAATTCTCGTGATTTTGGCTGAGATTAGGTAGACTGCATTATTCAGAGCTCAAGTTGGCGGGATACTCCTGTATATTTATAAGCAAGCTCCACAACAGGGCGAGTCCCACTTTGCGATTTGCACGTTCGGAATATCTGTTTCGTTGAAATGCATCTCTAAAACGTTGAATCGGTCGTAGAGCCTGAGCAATGTCGAATTGCTTTATATACGGTGATAAGTTATTATCCAAGCAATAAGAAATCGATTTTTATATGTACATATATGTTTGAATATTATATATTGAATATTATATATATTATATATGTTAATATTTTATTATCTTTGTAAATCGTAGTATTCTTTAGGCTCTAAAATTAGTATTTAAAAAATTTGAAAATATCTTATAAAAAAGAATTTCTTTTATATATTTCTCCTTGAATGCTCTTGCTCACTCACGAAATACAAAATTTCTCTATTTTCCAAGACATTGTAATAATATCTATCTGTGCACTAAGGATCAGTCACAAATATTCGCAAATCCCTATTTTAAATTCCCAAAACGTCCTCAAGTTTATAATTTCAAGTCATATTTCAACGCGGAATAACACGTTAGATGAGAATCGCGAATGAAAACCGAGCTGGCATAGAAGCCGCCGTACGTCACGATAATCCCCGAATCCATGAGGCCTTTTCTCACGGAGCATTAAACTCATTCAGAAATTCACGCCGTTACGAAATGACATCTATTGAACCTTTTAACGAATCGCCAAGCCATACTTTTACGTCGTTGTAAATTAGGCTCGTTACAGCTGTATTGAGGTTTTTGCCGATTCGAAACGTTCGCTTCGGGCATTGGGCCCGCTTACGCGGACAATGAGAGAATAAATTCGTGACGCGCAGCATCGTCTTCTCGATCCTCGCCGACGAGCTCTTAATGATCCTCCAGTGGAACATGCTTGTACGTAAAGATTATGGCGCGCGTTCTTCGGCATTTTACAGTACGAACGAATTTCCGAAGCGAAGCGAAACGAGCAACGCCCATTATCTGCACGATATGGCTGTCGGCAGACGTTATTGTACCATGAGAAAACCGCGAGGAGCAATTCTTGGGGTATAAGTACAGAGGAACGAGAAGTCCGTCCGAGTATGAGGCTTAAAAGAAGAATTTACGAATATATACGAGTGTAATACCAGCACTAAAAGATTTTTCTTTATTTGTTATTTTTTATTTACTTGGAATTTTTTGTGGAAAATAATTTAGAAGAAATTTGTTCGAAGAATAATATTCGTTAGAAAATTGCAATATCGAAGTATCATTCATTATTCTTCTCTTTGATATTTTAATAGTGCAATCTTTAAATGCTTGTAAACAAAATGGAGTGAAAGGTTCGAAGAGCGACCAACTCGTTTTTATCAATCGCGACGACGCGATTATTGACGGAACACTCGTTGGGCACATGGGATTGTGAAAGGTAACGGTATCGGACCTCTCGTATCCCGAAACCCACTCGGCCATTCGCGACTCTGAGGAATACCGTTACTTGAAGAACTCTTCTCCGCGAGAATTTCTTTCGTTTCACACATCGCACGCGCGGCGAATATAATTGAGAACTTAATTACATTTGTTGTGTAGCGTGAAGCACGGAGGCGGTTAATGTTCTTCCGGTTTTCGCTCGCCGAGACGCTCTGACGAATGATAATTACAAACGGCGAAATTCGCATTAAAATTATTCGTAGAAAATTCCCTTCTTCGTCGCCGAAACCGTGCTGGAACGGACCGGAACCATAATCGCTTCTTTTACGAGTTGTATTATTGTTTCATGTATGGTATCAATTAACATTTAGAAACCGCATTAAGATGTACCTCTTCAATCTAGAAATACATACTTGTGTAATTCTGCGATATAATTATCACAAACGACATATAAAGATAAGTTTTATTTTTAATGGAAATGAAAAGGATTTGTTTTAATTTCGAAAGCAATGATGATTTATAGAACTTTAGAGTGAATATACATATATCTTAGTATTATTACTTTTTACATAATTATACTACACATAGAAAATTTAAAAAAATATATATAATTATTTTTGAACTTTTTTACTGATGTAACAATATATATTCGTTAGAATCATTATTTTCAAATTGATTGCTAGAATATAAAAAAATTTTTGCAATCTTATATCAACATGTTTAAGCGTCTTATATAATAATTTTTAGCAAATTTATTTTCAGATCTATATCTGGCCAAATTTTTAAATATTTCAGGGAAAGTTTTTTCCATAGAATTACTTCTTTGAATTATTAAAATTAAATTTATCTTTTATTTATACATGTCATATTTATTAAATTACTCAACTCCATATTAAATTTTCTCCAATATGAAATAATTAAGTCTGTCAGTGATTCCATTATTGTTTGCAGATGCATCGGTCACAGATCGTCATGGGCGCATATCTCTACACGCGGAATTGCTATCATCAAAGGCTAAACGCGAACAGGCATTACGTAACATTCTCGCTGCGAGAAGGCGACAGATTCTGAATCAACGTCCACATGAGCCTCATCGAACTCTTTCGAGTCGTAGGTCACGACTCAATAATACCATCTCAAAGGATCTTCCGGACATTCTCGAAACCCAAGAGACCAGACACGATATTTATGTTACAAATGCGCGAACAGAAGAAGAAACTTCACAGTTATCAAAAAAATCAGTCGAAAAAGTCACTTCTATCATTAATCTCAACGCGACAGAAAAAGTTGCGATCGAATCGCAAAGTACGAAGACACCTAAAGATGAAATTCTGTTGACGCCGACGACCGAAAAATACGAGAACATCTCCTCAACTTCTCCTCCCGTTGTTTCATCGCCAACTAATCAAAAATTGGCAGACGCGGATTCGCGTAAGAAGAATATCGTATCGATGCCAGAATCATTGTACAAACATTTCCGGCCAGTGGAGAGCAATATTCCGGTGGAAGATATGTCGCAGTTTTTGTATTTCGGTCAGAAGCTCCAGCCGGACGCGCAGAACATCACCAGTAACAACAATTCCGTGGAGGCGACATCGACGATACCGACTTCTTCGCGCAGAAAATATTCCACGAAGCGATTCAGCGCGACGATAGCCGCACCGGTCGAGGAGATCCTGAATGAAGAGATGAATATTGCGCTAGAACGTCGGACGGTAGAGAAGAATCAAGTATCGAGGATTAAAAACACGTTCAGGAGCTCGAATAACGGACTATACTATCGAAAACCGAGACCTACGACGGACGTCGTATCCAACGTTATTCCGGGGAACGAGTCGAGTTCCGGAATCATTGGGTCGGAAACGAGGAGCGAGATGAACGCGATGGACGACAAATTCCGCCGCGACGGCGACTTGTTCGCTCACGCGGACGGAACGCGCGATCGGCTCCCGCAAGAGAGAGGAAACGCGGCCCACGTGATCGAGGCGAGCACGACGACCCAGATACCGCAACAACGCCAGCCCGATGACGATATCGAAGCGGGGGTCATCGCAAAGAGTGAAATCGACGTGAGACTTTCGAACGGAACGATCGCAGCTTCGAGCGGAGTCACCGAGGATCCCCAGGAGACGATGAATTTCGAGAGGGACGACGAGAAGAGGAAGATCGACGATACGAAGATGGAAGCGGGAAACATGGAGAAATTGAAGCACAAGTTAACGAGTGTCGAGAAGACAATGCCAACGTCGAAAGCGAACACGAGATCTCGCGAGAGTGACGACATCGAAACGATGTCATTGCTACCACCGCGGACGGAATCGTCAACGTTGCGGATCGTAGTGCCAGATGAGAGCTTCGGGCTCTCGGATTTCGCGATCGAGAACGAGCGGACCCATCGGAATACCGTTAAACCGGTCGCGGATCCCGTCGCGGATCGACCGGTTCGCGTGTCGGCCAGCGGCGATATCGGTCCGAAATCATCACCGTCGTCATCGACGTCGCCCTTGATGACGGAGCTATCCGCACCTGTCGCCGCCGCCGTCGTCGGCTCGAATGAGCAGCCCCAACAGCAGCAGCAACATCCGCAGCAACACGTGTACGCTTATACGATAACAAATGTGACGCGATTGTTGCGCAACTACACCGGACCCGGATTAAGCGGCGAGGAAAGACGAAGTGGAGGTGGTGCTGGTGGTCGTCGTGCTGGTAGCGGTGCGGAGATAACGAGCGATGGACCGTCGCAGCAGCGGCCTCAGCAGGAGCAGCAGCAACCACCGCCGCCGCCGCCGCCGCCGCTGCCGCAGTCTCTTGTGCTTCCTCGTGCCGGCGATGGTAGTATAGAACCGGCGCGAACGCCGGCGGGACTCAGTATCGGCGCGACCGTCGAGCCAGCCACAGCTGCTGGAACGTTGGCTAGTGTTGACGGTCTGGTGGGGGAACGGCCGAGGAAAATTGTTCCGCAGCAGCAACGAGTGGCGGCCAGCCAACGAGCAGCGACGACCTGGTCCTCGTCGCTGCATTCAGCTGCGAACGATAGCGTTATCTCGCCAACGAGATCCGCCAAGTCGCCGGATACCGGAAACAGGGGGTCGGTCAGGTGGAGTCACGCCAAGTCGCGGACCAGCGAGCAGGAGGGTGCTAATGACCGGAGATTCTTGAGAAAGAGTGCCAGCGCGGTGCTGAATCAAAGATCGACCGTCAACGAAGAATCTTCATCTTTGGTAGCGAATAAACGTCGTAGAGTGTTGATTTCTTCGAGTGGCGTGTCTCCCTCGAGCGGTCCCAATAGAAGGGTGAAATCTGGTGAAGAGAAGAGCGAGGATGCTAAAGATAAATTAGAGGGCGATAATTCGTCGAACGAAACGCGGGTTGCGGATCGCGGGAAAGTTTCGGACGATGAAGTACCGGGTGTCGATTCTGTTCGGGAAATTGCGCGTGCCAGCGGGGTGAACGAAGGGGTGCCAGGTGACAGTAGTCCGCAAGAAATCACCGTCATGGGGAACGTGAGTCGAAATTCGAGTGCGACTGACGAGACGATGGACGCGACCGATCCGTCTGTCCTCATTGACGCGATCACAACAACGGAGCTGGAAAAGTCTCACGTTTCTGAAGAAGATATTGTGACTACGTTAAGTTTAAACGATGAAGGCGACGTCGAAATTAATACTGAAGCTCAAGACATTACGATGTTAAACAAGAGCGAAAGTGACATAAATGCAACGACGGATAGTATCGTGGAAACAACCGTGATAGAAACTGAGCAGATGGATGAAATGATTGCGATGACGACCACGACAACAACAACGACGACATCGACAACGACGACGTCGACGACGACGATGCGAGCGGCACCAGTTTTTCCGGTCACGCCTAGAATATTGACGGAAGTGGAAAGAATTATCGATCCAGAGAATTATACCTTGAGGCCGACGGATGTTGCAAAAGAAACGAGCAATTTAGATCCTTCAGAGATCCAGAAGAGATATCGGGCTAAGGACGCGACGTCAACGACGACGACGACGACAACGGTTTCGCCGACTCAGAACGACGCGCATGTGAACGAAACTTTGAACAGAAAATCGAAAGTCCTACCCACCTCGTCGACGGTAACGGAAAGTGAAAAACGCGTATCTGGCGAGAGATCACCGGAAGTTAGAGCGCGTAATTTATCTGACAAATCGAAAGACAAGGACGACGTGCTGCCGATCATGCATCTGTACAACACGTCGGATATCTTTAATGGCAGCGGGTCGATGGACGGGTTCGCTCGCGGCGCGGAACAGGTAGTGCTTCCGATAGACTCGCAGGATGAGGACAGTTCTGCGGTGACAATGACGACGACAACGACAACAACGACGACGACAACGACAACAACGACGACGACGACGACGACAGAGAAAACTCCCGAGCCGATGATAACTGAGAGCAGCACGGAAATCAGCGGAAGTACCTCAACCACCGTTCCCGTTCCCAGGCCTAAAGAACCCATCGTAGTCCTAACGAGCTCTCGAAAGGACAAACATGAGGAGACTCGCGTATCTCAGGATGCTGCTGTCCCTCCGGTGTCCAAAGGCTCCTCTGTCGCGCCCACGGCGAATAGGACGAGGTACAGACCCGCCTATCATCACTCGATTCTGCCGGAGTACAATGGCACGATGTATTATCCCGGCGGGCTCAATAGGACGTTCCTCGAGACCGGCGAGCCGATCTCGGTGAGCCCGCGGGAGTCGATGAACGTCAGTGAGGTGATATTGAAGCGGCACGACGGCGACGCGATTGCCACTCAGGAGACGGTCGCCGTGGTCGGCTACATCCTGGCCACTCTCGTCGTCTTTCCCATCGCCGTCGGCGTCGGGCTCATTCTCAGAAGACTGATACTTAGGAATCGTAAGGTGAGTGAGTTCGAGGTTTCGAGGTTTCTCAGTGCGCCCGCGTGCGGTCGACTTAGCTTAGATCAGGATTAGAAAGTATGCGCGAATCGCCGCGCCACGCTCTAGATCGATTCGATGATATTTCGTCTTTCTCTTTCCCGAGACGGAGTCGGCATAGCGATTGAAAAACTGGTAAGCGCGATTTGAATCCGCTTAGATAGAAGACACATGGCTGTGAGAGGGATATTTGAAGGGAAAGCTTTGGCAAGATCTGTATCAGATTTATATCAGATGTAATGTTTTAATAGGAAAACTCTGAGAATAGTAAAATGTAATTTTTATGATTATCAAATACATGATGATAATAATAAAACGCGTGACAGGCTGTAAAAATCTTGCCCTCAATTTTATTAACAAATTTGTTAATTAAACATGAAGAGATTTTTATACGCGAATTTTTGAAATTTATATTTAATATTGATTTTAAATTTCTTTTGATATATTTAAATTCAAATACTCTTTGAATGCAATTTCAATTATTTAGTTTGCTTCCCTATTGTTAATATATAGAATGTTACAAAAATATTAGTATTACATAAATAATTATTTTTAAAATATTCAAAAGAAAAAAATTAGAAAGTAGAAATACAATATCAAATTTCATCTGATAAAGTGACCAACAGATAAATGTCTTTAACAAACAACATAATATTCTATTCTGATATGATTCATAGAACATTATGACTTAATTAGAGATTAGATCTACTGTCGACTGTGGTCGTGATCGAGAGTACCAGCGGAGGAGACAGCGGGGAAAGGATGAAAAAGCGCCGCGTGTAACTCCGTTTTTAATTGATGCACCGAGATGATGCGCCGAGGTACAAATCGCTGTTCATGTGGCAGTGCCACTTACATACCGTTACGCGGCACAACCGGAATTATCATTACGCGTTAACATTTATCGTCCGGCCATTAACCAGCGACGTTCTTTCTCTCGTGGGCCGCGGTCGCCGCGGCATCACGCTAACATTTTGTTAATTAGCGCGACAGCGCACACACTGACGATGTCCGAATCGTCACTGTTATGGATCATTAGCTGATCCAGAACGCCTCGCTACATCCATAATCACTAGGAGACGCTGTTCCGAACGGCCGCGCTATTTTAATTAAAATAAATTTTAATCCATAATGAGACATTGCGAGTCTGAGATCTGACTAATGAAAAACAGATATGTTTCTATAAAATACGCAAAATTTGTAATTATCGATATTTTTTTTCTTACAAGATGCAAATTTCACATTATCACAGCTGTGACTTTGTCATGAATGCATATTAAATGCGGTCATCGAATAATTCTTTTGCGAAGGTTAGCTTCACGATGATTCATGAAATAGTTAACGATTCCCTCCCTCCCCCTCCCCCCCCGACAATTACTACAAGTTCATTGTATGCAGAATAATCTCGGGATGATTCGAGCGCACTATTATCAGACGGAGTGTGGTATGTTACGTTAATGAACGCATCGTTGGATAATGCGAAAATTGTTCGACTCATTATCTTCAATGATTATTTTTCCGCGGAATTTTCCTCGGATAACAGCTAGATAAGAAAATTGCATCGAAAATGTTGTATGAGGCTCGTTGAATGGCATCAGAAAATATGAATATTTATACCCGTTATTATATTTGTGCAATTATTATTCATTACATCGATATACATTTAGATATTTTATATATTTATATTTATATTTTCTTATAATTTATTCAAGCTATTTAATTTTTGTTATAATACATTTCTTAATGAACCATATTTTTATCTTGTAACATTTCGTTCTCAATTCATCTGTAGACATTTTATGTTGCAAATAATAGATATTAATAATTTCTTGACGTCAAAAGTGATCGGAATGGATGGTACAGGCTACAAAATTTCCGGAAATGACATAAGCGAAATGCTTTCACGCCCAAGACATTCATAAATAATAATGCGGATATAAATTTAAATTTAACCCGACAGTCATGGAAATAAATCTGAATGGCGGTACAAAGGTTTGCGTGGACGGTAAAAAAGGAGCATGCAAAGAAGGGAGAAGGGAGTACGAGTACGAGTACCAAATAAATAAGCGGGACCGTTTTAGGGCTTGGAACTGATGTTAAACTCGAGCATGCTATGTTTTGTAAGATTGAAATTTCACCGTCGACAGGCAAACCGATTCATTTTCCTGATGATTCTCGCATAAGCAATTCTTTGCTGTAAATGCTTTTCTCCGAAAGGATCTGTGCTACGTAATTATAATCAAATATGATTTCTTTATATTAATATTGAGTTAAAGAAAAGATTGCAAATTTTACGTACATCAAGAAATTATTAACATTTTATCATATAAAATTATAATTTCTTCTTTCAAATTTATTCTTTCATTATATGAATGTAAATATCTTTATAAAAATTGTTTTGGGCGAATTACTGTCTTTATTGCTGTTCTCAGTTACTGAAAATATTTCAACACGATTATAATTAATTCAATTTCTCTTAAAATCACAATAGGTACAGTTGATTGTTATTTTTACGTCATTTGCGCATCATTTTATTGTCGTTGTAAAACATGTCAACATTGTATTTTCATGTGGAATCGCGATATGTTTTTCTAACTTTATTCCGGCAATATTATTCGCAGAGATATTCTCGGGGCCTCAATCTATCTCGCTGATCTTCATTACCATGCGGCATTGCTCTTCCCAATTAAATGGGAGTGACGACCGATTCAAGCGGCTGCTCGACGCGCGTGCGAGCGGCATGTTCCATACATGTTATACTGACGTTGATTTGCTTACGCAGGTGCTCGAGGAGTCGGACACGTCATCGGAGATAAGCTGTAGGAAGGACGCTCTTAATCTTGAAAACGGCGACTTCAAGACGTCCATCGAGAAGGCGATCACGAAACTACCGAGGATACAGCACTTGGTGAGAAATTAACGAATGTTCTGTATATTTAACGCGACAGCAGTCACGTAGTGATTATTTGCACAACTCCTTCAACGCATTTGGCGCATAGTGCTAGTATTTCCGTATGAATTATACTCAATTGATTTAATGCCCACATGAAAGACATTTGGAGGAAATAATTTACATTAAGATATTAATCTTATTAATACAATTTAATTGACACTTGCATTTTAATTTCATATCTGAAGATATGACTTGCATAAATTTTGCAGAGACTCGATTTGCATGTGATAGATAACACGTAAGACATTGATTTTTTCACCTGCGTGTAGAAAAATCACGTTATGCATAGAGATACGTCAATGAAAAATCCTGAAAGTTTGCCTTCTTAACGTGGAGAGAATTCCACGTCACATAATATGCACATAATATGCACGAGACACTAATCAGGTGACGCGTTCGTTCCCGTGCATATGAATTAGCAGGTATTTTTGGACAATTCTAAACTGCAATATTCGTTTCTTTGCATAGTGTCACGAAGCTGAGAAACCACCGCCTCCGCCGTCCCAGGAATCCAGATGGGAGTTTCCTAGAGATAAGCTTAGATTACAGACAGTCCTCGGGCAAGGAAACTTCGGCCAGGTGAGAGGATACTTTCTGTGGCATCTCTATAAAAAGGAAGCCTGTAATTTGCGGCTCTCGGACGGATTTTACGAAATACCTGCGAAATTCATGCGGAAATGTAATCTTCGCGACAAATTCAGCGGTTCCTTCTTTCAATATATTTATCTTCGAGCGATTTTACGAACTTTTCTACTTTGCGCAATTCCATTCGTGTTGATTTGTAATAACAGCTTTTGACACGTGTATGATATACGCCGTATATCTTTGTGAGATACGGTAACGGCCAGTTAATGTAATATTGGTATAATCGAATTGATTATGCAAAATCGATTGTGGGAAAACTTGGGAAACGTATAATCTAAGCGATAAATTTTTTTTTTCTAATAATAAAAGACGGAACCGCGATTTGAATAATCGCTTCCCATCGTGAAGATTATATATTTTCTAAAGTAGCGGCGACATAGATGAAAGAAAAGGAGAGAAGAAATACAAAACCTTATCGTTTATCAATAATTGATGTTACATAAATTGAAGGCATTTAAAAAAAATATTAATTAGTTGATTAGTTGCAAATTTAAACTTGTAGAGGAAAAATCTTATTAAAGCTAGTAAATGCATAGTAAATGCATTTGAAATATGATCGAATTGAAATGTCAGGTGTGGAAAGCCGAAGCCGACGATTTGACAGGTCATCAAGGTACGACTCGATTAGTGGCGGTGAAAACTGTTAAAGAAGGCGCCTCTGATCGTGAAAAGGAAGACTTGGATCGAGAACTTGAAATCATGAAACAATTAGGCAGTCATCCGAACGTCGTAACACTTCTGGGTTGCTGCACGGAAGAAGGTAAGCAAGTTATACATATGTTTATGCTTTTTATCTTTTTTTGATAAAAACGTGATGCAAGATTTAAGGACAGCTACATCATATGATAAAAGATAAAAATTTTATGAATTTATGTTAAAAAACTGAAATACAAGGGGCAATATAATTTTTTAGTTAACCTAACAAAAGATTTAAATTTTTTTAAATTAACGTAACAATTTTATTAAAAATTTCAATTGAAAATAAAATACTATTGATTGGAAAATGGGAACATATGTAGGATTAATAATATATTAATTCAACCACTAAAAAATTTCTGTCAAACGTAATTGTTGGTGACATCGTCGAACCGATCGTCATCTTATCATTTTCCAATTAAATTCCGGAAAATTACTTCCACCTCGATTCTTGCGTACGTTGCGCATCTGGCCGTACGGCCGTATAATCAACCGAAAGGGGAGATACACCATATGGCATCGGCACGTACCGACGATGCGACACGCATCGCGCAATTTCCCGCGGAAACACATCCTCGCGCGGTCCCCATTTCGATTTGCATCGACGAGCAATCGGCCGTATGCACCTGCCGTATGCCACAACTCGATGAATCTTCCTCATTACCGTCGCTTATCCGCGACCTTGCACATCGCCGCCTGCGCTCGCGAGCCTTGGCAGCATAAACTTTATAAAAACCGATGGCGTTTTAAGTGCCGGCACTTCGACGTAGAATGCGCGGATCGCCGGCATATAGTAATTAAGTAATCAAGTCCCGCCGAAGAGATATACCGCGTGTATGGATTGCGACTTCTCCAATCGGGACGCCGCCGCGATGCGTTCGCGATGCTCCCTCCACTAGTTGTCCTTGCGGTTTAATCGAAATTCACACGGACATTTAGTTCATTATACGGAGCGGCAATTTAGTTCATTATACACATTATTAAAATTTTCGCGAAAAATATGCTCCGTGTAATTAATATAATAATAACTGCAATAAATAACTTAATAATAAAATGATAAGTCTCTGTCGTGATCTCGTTCGACGACTTCATTTATTTGTTACGTGGACGAGTTAAACTTATAAACATCTTGAAAAAAATTTATTGCTTCTTTGAATCAATAACAATAGTGTGTTTATATTAAAAGTTAATAATTTGCGCATGTAAAACGCATTTTATTTTGCGTATTTTATTGTTGCCAAATAATTCGTTTGCATGTTTTAAATGGTTGCATAAGAAGACAGATGTGGCAACTATAAACAGTCAGCGTGAAAATGTTTGTCTTTACCGTGATTGTGTTCGCTTGGACGATAAATTAGACAGTCATTATGATAATTGCTTGAGAATCGTTTTGTTTTGCACAAGAAGATTTATCCGTTTTATCGTGTTGTTATCTATGCCATAATAGATAATTACAGTTAATATGCATAAACTTGACAACTGCAAATTAAATCATTGTGTAAACAATTTATGTATTTTTCCTGCAACATTAATTCTTAAATTAAAATCGACTGTCTCAAAATCAGGTTTCATGAATGTAATAAGTTATCAATATTTTTAATCAGAATTAATTTTCCAGTTGATGCGACGCGCTTGTTTTTCATGAGAATCGCATAAGTTTGAACAAAAATATCGATGATTGCATCTATTTGCAAATAAAAGTATGATCGATGATGAACGGTTCTCTGTTATTTTATCGTATCTTGATTGATTAAAAACTACATCATCCCGCTTCCACAATGTCGGATCGAATAATCGAAGGCGCTTGATGTACCGAGGCTTCATTATCGAAAGCGAGCGCGCAACGAATTGGCAAATAATTTCCTTGCGGATAAATGCTCCAGTGAGTTTTGAAGATCGATGTTTATCACAAAACTGTGAGAGGAAATTAATTACGTCTTTCCAGAACTTCAATAATATTCAAGAGATAAATAAGAAACGTACACAAATCTTCTATTTGCAGGAAATAATTTATGTTATGTTTAAAAGTTTAAGCTCAAGTAATATAACAATCATTATTTCTGAAGTTTACAACGTAGCTTTATTATTTTTTATTTTTTATAGAAAATCCACAAATGAAAGGAGTATGCATCATTACAGATCGTAAATTAATTCATTTGCATTTTTTCGTGGAATTTACAGTAGAGATCAAAAAAGTTCGAACAATTTTGTACGTGTCGAGATAAATCGCGAAGAGGTAGAGACCATTATACGTCTTTCTCTCCTTCTACATGCAATTCGATATCGTCATTCTCATCGTTCGTATAAATTTCCATAAGCATCCCCGCGAAGCACTTCTTCGCAGTACAATACGTTTATTAAGTCAGTATCCTCGAGACGATCGTTCCATTCGCAGATCGAAAGAAGTTGAATAAAAAACAAGCAATGATACAATCTGGACAAGTGATCGATTTATTTAAGTATGATAATCCGCTTATTTCGATTAATGAAATTCCATACCTTTCATTTCCATCAATTAAAACGTTCAAAATACAAGCTACATTAATGATCTCATTTCAGCAAAATTTATAATTTAATAAATATAATTTTTTAATAAGCCTTTATATAATTATAAATCGATTTCTACGTTTTACAAGAAGTAGAAATCTTTTCTTTATAAGAATAGAAATCATTAATAAAACTTGATAAAACGATATAATTGACAATTTTGAAAACAGCAATCATTTTCGTTAGTAATTTCTGTTTCAAAAAAAACGAAGTGAACATAATCAAGCTAATCGATAATCATGGGAAAAAATCATTTGCGAAAAAAAATAGGCGAGAAATAAACTCGACGAGGAGAGATATTCGTTTGGTAGGCATACAATCATAACGGTGAAATGTTCGTGGGTGCAGTAAAGGTCGAGATGATTGCTGTGGCAAATCGCGGACTTTAGAGGTGTGTCTGCAACTTTCGGCGTCGCTGACGCATCTTAGGGAGTGGGTCCCAAAGGATCCTCTCTGCAGCCCTCGTACAATAAGGAACGCGAAAAGTTCCTGGCCGTCCAGAAACACGAGACGAGCCACTGTATAAAATTTACGACATTTAAATTTCGACCCCACCGCATTTATCGTTTGCGGCCACGTCCGAATTTCTTTCCGACGACGTTCGTCAAAGGAAAGCCTTTTGACCGTTTTACGATCGACGCTCAGACGAGAATAAACTTCACGTTGAACGCCGTCGTATTCCAACCGCCAAGAAAATTATTAGCAGTTAAGGAACCAAACAATAATATTACAGTTTCGATAAATTTTTATATTCCTAATATATTAAGCAAAAACAGAAATTAATTTTGTCAATTATAGAAAAATAAAAATAATTAAGTAATAATATTTTCAACGTGCACATTAAATTTACATATCGGTTGATGAAGACATCACGAATGCGTTAAATTTTTTATCACGAAACGATTTCCTCTCCGTCCAAAAAACTACCGTTCAATAAAATGATGAGTCTCTTATATTTGACTATCGCTTGCTTTTTTCTTTTTTCTCCTAATCAAGCTTATTTATCTGCATTTACGATGACACGTATAAAATAGAAGCGACATTAAAGAGCAGAATTCTTTAAAACATACAAACTTGGGAAGTATCTTCTTTTCGACACGAGTTTTTCATGCAAATAAATGTCCTGAGAATTTTAAAAGACCGATAGCATGTTTGTGGAGTTTTGCTTCATGATAAAACTGAGCGCTTTATTCAACAAGTTTTTTTTTTTTGATATTTCGCGGTATCTTTGTCTGATGAACGGATTGTGTTAAAATTCAATAGAATTAATTACGCGTCGTTATATTACTTTGCGATTTAAGCAGCGTCGATTTGCGTCAAAGTTCTCAATGCCATCGCGTTTGCAATTTTGTTTATAAACATCCGCCTTCGAATAATTTGCATACATAAAATTAAAGAGATTCGAAAGAATGTCGCAACTTGTTCCAACGCGTCGACGGAATATATTTTCGTGCCTTTCTTGCCCGTATCGTCGTTTCGTTGTTCCACGAATATATTTCTATCAGTATTACATTTGCAAAATATGATCTACGTGAATATGAAACGTGCACGATATCCCTGCCCACGTATCGTCGTTGCGCATTCATATTGCTTTGCATTCGTCACGACTATTGTATTCGTGCGCGTGCCATATCGATCGATACATAGGCGCGGATCCGCGATTTTTGCAATGAGAGACTTGCAGCACGGAGTTGACGCGAAATTCAACGCGCGTATTCGACAATGGAGCCTCGATATATCATGTGTCAACGAGAGAATAACGGGCATTGCTCGTGGAAAGAAAACATTTTCTTTCTATGCATCGATTGTAACTTATTTTTAATCGCTTATTTTCACTTCTTTATGACATATGACTTGCAGACAAAGTATATATAAATATTTAAAATCAGATTTTTATTATTAATTAGTTAGTTGCGCGAGCGAAAGGAAAGTGGTAATGAGAAAATTATTTAATTTTTAAAATAATCTTGCATATAAAATAATATTTTCTTTCTATTTTTTTCAATAAATTATTGATTATTATGAAACTAGAGAAGTTAAAATATAACAGACAATCTTTTTATTTACTTTTAAATCAATCGAAATTTATCAGATTTGATTAAAGTTTTTCGATGTGAATTAATGTTTGTATATCGATGTGTATAATACATTATTAATTATGATACAGCGTACTTTATATGTTGTGATTAAACTGCTAATGCACATTGATAACGCATGACTTAATGCGATTGAAATAAACATTGTAAGTATTAAACATCTCGTTTAATTTACATTGAGAAATGTATTAACGCTATGCTACTTGGCGCATACGCTACTTGGCGAACAAGAATTATTAGAGAGGATAGTAATATCAACCTAATACGAGAATTACAATTCGTTGCGCCGACAAAAGTAGTTCCATAAGTTACAATCAAGCGAGTATTACCAAGGATTCTTCCAAGAGTGCGTCACTTAAATTATTTCAAATCGTGAATATTTCACACCGTGAAATATTTCTCCAACAATCTCAGCATGTGTTCCTCTAATCGCCTACTTCTTTTTATCTATTACTGATTATAATTACAGTAATGTTGCAATTAAATATAATATGTAATTAAATAAATTGCGTAAAATATAATGCTATCAAAGAAATAATTTAAACATTAAAATGTTTTCTTATAATATCCAGTGAATAAGGCTAATAATTAACATTAATAATGGAAATAATTATTAGTAATTAATTTATCTTATTGAATATGTAAAATATGTTAATATTTAAATGAATTATTACTTTAATAATTATATATTTTTATAATAGGAATTTTTATATATGTATATATATATATATATATGTGTGTGTGTGTGTGTGTGTGTGTGTGTGTGTGTGTGTGTGTGTGTGTGTGTGTGTGTGTGTGTGTGTGTGTATATATTTTTTGCAAATAAGGCTCGATTTGCATTTCTTTTGATTACACTGCAAAAACAATTTGATCAACCTTGGAAAGCGTTATCGACGCCGAGAACAATACCATTTTTGTTTACGCATGCGATATTTTTTATTTAAATGCATTTTTATCTTATATTTTTGAAGCGCAGTAAAGTAAGCAATGCCTTGAATGGTAAATCACCATTGAAGCAAATTCCATATACATGACGTATCTTATAATACTACACATTTATTATCCCTTAAAAAAATCGCATTACTCATTTGAATCGTGAATTGATGAATAAGAATTATTCTTCGTTGATTGAGTTTCCCTTACTCGAAATGCAGGGTCGATACGCTCCAGTTTCCATTCTTCCATAAATAAATATAAAGGATTCAGCGAATGATTTTCTCTGATTGCAGAGCCTCATTATCTCATACTGGAGTACGTCATGTATGGCAAGCTACTCGCGTATCTGCGTGATCACCGTACCAGGCAGTACTTTTACAACTTCAGCGAGGATTCAGCAGCCTTGACATCTAGGGATCTCACGGTTTTCGGATATTGCGTGGCCAGAGGCATGGAGTATCTTGCATCGAAAAAGGTATGAATATTTAGGACATTAGTTCGCGGTGAACATTGAAGTTAATCAAGATTCAACTATCCTTTCTTAAAGATGCAATTTGAGAAAGAGAAGTTAAATGTCAGTTGACCTTAATGTTCGTGAGAAAGATCGACAAGCTTTCTTTTTAACGTTTATATTTCATACTTCTAGGCAAAATAAGGTTTATTTTTCATACATTTGCACAGAATATATAACATTTACTTTTGCTTTCTCTTCCGACTTCTTTTCGATGCATTATCGAATTCCATCGAAAAAGAGAGATTTAGATTACTTAAATCTTAATATATAATATGGTATTAACTTTTTTCTTTATTACTAAATTCTTTAGTACTAAAATTTTTAAACTAAAAATCCATAGATATCAATATAACTAATTGTCGTTCGCCGAAGAGATAAACTCAAAGAAAAAACTCAGTATACAATAAAAATAATAAAATTTTATATATTATCGTCGCGCGATATATCTTGATAAAGTCCTCGACAAAACCAAGATCACGAAATGTAATAGCGCGTGCTAATTAATTTTTCTTTATTGCACATGGCTTATTTATGAACAGAAGGTCTTCCAGGTTTCTCGACGTAGATAATTGTCGTTCCGTCGCAGGAGAAAAAGTAGCCTCAAGCTCGAAGCCGCTTGGCGGTTCGTTTCTCGCAATTTTCCTTCTTTCTTTCTTTCTTTCTTTACGTTACATACCGCCGACAGAACAGGATGGTGGGACCGGCAAACAGGAGAGGAAAGGAATCGCGATAAATTTCGGCGCGACACCTCGACGATCGATATGCACCATGGCCGTTTAAAATGTTTAGGTAGAATCTCCCTCGTTAATCTCTCCACAATTGAGGAACCCTCTTTGCTTTAAGTATTATCCAACCGATTAATCGTTTGACATACCTAAAATATTTGTTAAAAATATGGAATTAGATATGGAAAATTTCTAATGCATTCAAAGGAAACATTTAAATATATTAGGGGAAATAATAATTTGATAATTGCAGATGAATAAAAGATTATTGAACAGCTTTAATGGTTATAATAAACAGCATAATACATGCAATAAATATTTAAAAAAAAATACATTTATTATTTATTCATTTATTAATTTATGTTATTTAGAATTATTTATACAGAGTTATTAATTTTTTTATTTAAATTTATAAATGGATGTATCGTAATAAATGCATAGTTTCTTAAAATTATTATTCCTAATGATTGAAAATACGTTTAACAATTTTTATGGTCAATTATTTCTGTCTTAAGAAACATGGTGAATAATTTTTTGCGCAATTTAAAACATAAAGACGCAAAATTGTAGTTGCATAATGTTGCGAATGTAAGAATTAATGCACTTCTATATCTTCATCTTCGTAGTTGAATTGCTTTGCGTACGATTTTAATATTTCTCCTTTATGATCGCGGAAAAAATAATTTTTTGTAAAGTACTTAGTTTTAAAGTACTTGGTTTTAATACCTCCATAATATCTAATGTAATTTTCTTACCAGGTTGGTTTTTTGAAATGACAAATTACAATAAATCCCACCTTTATCCCTCTATGAAGATGGACTTAACAAATTCAGCGTTAACTTTTTATGTACTTTGAAAACATTGAATATGAGAGTCTTTCGAGGACATATGACACCATGGAAGGTCGCAGGGAGCATCGACTGCACGACAAATAATTCGTTAATGATGTTTAAACTCAAACATTTTCGCACAATCGTAAAGCTTCCACCGCATTCTCTCGCATTCGCCGAAGGATCATTTCTACCTGGAGATCTGTGTCACTAGGCAAAGATTGAATTTTATTTCTCAAAAGAACGAGCTCGAGGATACTCTAATGTTTTTTCATCTGATCTGAGAAAAATAAATAATCCTTGATGATGTTTCTACAATCTACGTAATCTGGATTGTTTTGTGATTTGCATTTTAGCGTAAAAATGGAACAAAAAATTTTATATTATTTGTATGCCAGAAGAAACATTTAAAATTCTTAAATTATAAAGAATTTGTCGTATTTCCGTCGGAAAAGTAATTTTATTTTCAATTTTTACACATGAATATTAATATTACATTGAATAATTTTTAATTTTAAACTTTTATGTGATCGTTATTAACAAAGACATAAAATATTTAAAAAAATATATGTATTTAGTATATATTTGTTTCTGTTTACACGTAGACGATTTGGTTTTATTATGAAATTCTTAGATACAGTAAACGATCAACTGGTTTTCGATAATATATTCAGGGTCGTAATACGCAGCTGCAATAAACAAAAATTAACATAACGTCGACATTGAATGTTTGCCATGATATAAGTATCCCGACGCGAACCGGTCGATCCGAAAAATCTCGCTAACGTTTTATACAAACAGTCGAGACGAAAGTTCGCAACCGACGTGCCAATTTATTCCACTCAATGCGCATCATCGATTAAAACAGGAATAATTCGCGAACGATGGAATAAATTTTTTTTTTTCGTTTTAGTATTCTCGTTTAGAACGGCTCGTATCTCTTGTCACGGAAAGGAAAAGGAAAATTTGCACATATCCGCGGAAGAGCGTTATTCTAAGCCATTCTAAGGAGGATACACCTGGCGATTAATAGACTATTAGGGAAACAAAGAGCCCGAAGTCTCGAGCCCGCGAGCGCTCGATCGTCCCCGTCGAATTACCAGTTTCCGTCTGTGTAATAACTTCCAGGAAACGGCGCAGCAAAAATTATTCTCTCGAGTTAATAGACAATTACGTAGCTCCGCGGGCTAAATGATAGTGCACGCGTGCCGTACCAGCTGCGAATACGCGTGGATGCATTCTAGATGCGCCTCTGCATTCAAGCAGAATTCAACGGCAGGCGCAGCTGATGCGCCCGGTGTTTCGTAACGTCGTATTTACATCATCTAGTCTCGTATGCGTACAATAATTATCATCCCGGTTTCTCGTTGTGGCTTACGGAATCGTTCGACGGAGCTTCGTTTGACCGAAACGATGATGATTAATTAAAATATAATTAATAATAATAGCGAAATTATAAATGGCGCAAGATATGCAGATACGCAAATACCGTGATCTTCAAATCGAGCTGTATATTTCATCTTTTTGCATTTGAATTGTCTCTCTTATTTTTTTGATGACTAAGCAAACCGTGCAGATATTTCTTTTACCTGTCATTGTTCATTAAGACCAGACGAAATTTATGTTCCCGTTTATTTATTCTTCCTAAAGATCCACGCTCTCTGGTGGTTGAGCATACATTAGCGGATTTATATTGCTAGATTTATCGGGTCTACCGACGAGCACTCATGTCGCTGAAACAATATTTGCTTTCGCACAGAACCCGCACTGGTTCTTCTTTCCACAACGTTTCTACCACGAATCCCGTTTTGTCGCATGCGAGCTCGGATTCAAGGCTGAATTTTTCTCGAGACGACTCGAGCTGCATCGAACTCGTAATACCATGTAATTTCTCGTCATGCGAGCAGGCCGTAAGCAATCGTACACGTAATGGAACATGCACCTCTCGAGGGCCGGTCGTTCATCGGTTTTTCTCTCTGTTTCTGCGTAGATCATCCACCGCGACCTCGCCGCCAGAAACGTCCTCGTGGATCACAACAAGCTGTGCAAGATCGCCGATTTCGGTATGTCGAGGTTCGCCAACGAGGACGGCGAGGTGATCGAGACCAGACACGGCAGAAATGCCTTACCCATCCGATGGATGGCCCCTGAATCATTGATTTACTCCCTGTTCACGACAAAGACCGACGTCTGGAGCTTTGGAATTCTAATGTGGGAGATCGTCACTTTAGGTAGATGCCTTCATCATTTGTTTCAAACGATGACTTGTTTAGTTTTGCTGGAATAAATATAACTTTTTTATTTTTAAAGCTTCTTAAAATTAAAATAAAAAAAAGTGAGAGAATCTCTTTATATACTTTTATAATACTTATTATACTTATTAAATTACTTTACTTGATTAAATTAATTTTGATGAATTAAAAAGAGAAAAAAATTTGTAAAATATTTTAATATGTTATTAAAATTTTAGAACGATTTCTTGATTCTATAATTTTTTTCATTCAATCAAAAAACTTTAATGCAACAACGGGTACAAAGATAACCGAATGTTTACCAAGAAAAGAAAATCCATTTTGTATCTTGTTAAAGCACTGTACGCTAATCAATGGACCGATACGGTAGCTTCTTACCGCGACTTATTGTGCCGACATCCTATCGTAATAATTGTACCATCTTATGCTCTCTATTCAGGTTCAACACCGTACCCGGATATGACGGCACGGGAAGTCATGCGGAACGTGCACAACGGTTATCGGCTGGAGAGGCCTTCGCACTGTCGAAGCGAGCTCTTCAGGGTGATATCCCGATGCTGGCACGCCGATCCCGACCGCAGGCCGGAATTCCAAATCCTACGGAGAGATCTCGCTCAACTGCTGGAGGACAACATGAACGGTCACTACGTGGATCTTGAAAGCTTCGCTTCGGAGTGCACCGACTGAAACTCCAACGGAAGAATCTTTAGATTCATCCTCGACTGCATCGGGCAATCAATTCCGTGGAAAGACTCGTGTTCGGCTCGCGATGGAGCTACCCGAGCAGGGAGATTTTTTTGGATATGAAAGCGATATGATCATCGAAAGCGACTTTTCCCATCGATCCCGAAAACGAAAGCAAAAGTAGAAGACATTAATTACAATTATTCCAAAAGAATCAAATTCTGTAAATTCTAGGCTTACCTTACAACCTTATTGATTTTGACCTCCAAATTCGTTGGAATTTTGTATGAGGTGTATGGTTAAAGCACAAAATACGTCAATTTATGGGACAATGGAAAAATGTTAAATTGAAATGAAATTTGCCAACGTAAAAATCACAATCCGTCCATTCAAATTCGTCCAGTAAATTTGCGTGAATCTTGATATTGCTGTGCAATAACAAAGTATAATGATGAAACGAAAGATATTGGGATATTAATTACGCAAATACATATATTCTCGGCAACATCGCAGTACTTAATGAATTGATTTTTATTATTGCGATTTTCATCTTTCTTTGCGCAGGAAATACGCAGGACGCAGAACACAGGAACGCTGTAACGCGCGCGATGCTATGATAAATAATAAAAAAAATTAAAAAAATTATATAAGCACGATATTAAAGCGCAATAAGAATTTATAAAGTCCGCAAAATATAAGTATTTCTTCTAGAATAGAATTATTTGGTAAGTAGCATTTTTATAATTTAGCTCTACATGATGTAACATTCGTTGAACCTTCGATATTTTGTTTTATTAATGTTTTATTATTTATAAACTGAGATTGTATGCATTTGGTAATGACTGTGCACATTGACGATTCACGCATTTTGAAAGCCTGTTGCGTAATATATTCTACGTAAATTATTCTGTTTATTTTAGTTTTATTAGAAAGTCATTCGGATATTAATCCGTCGAAAAAAATAGCGGACATTATTATTTTTATAGAAAGTCTTGCCGTAAATTTTTGATATTTATTATTTCGATTTATTATTTCGAAGCGATTCTTTTCAAAGTTCATAAAAAGAATGCAGTTTGCAGAAAGACTTAGTTCTCCATGTTAAACTTGGAAGACATAACGAGACTCAGCTCTGCGTCGCTACTTGTACATATTGTGTCCCTTGCGTAATAATATATTATATATAATATATATAT